CTAATTAAATTGTTTACCTTTATTAATTTGTATCAAATCATTTAAGAGTGTAAGGTACTCTGGATAATTTATAATCTAATTATTACATCCAAAGTCTGGTCAATTTTGTAACTAATCAACTGTAACATTTACAAGACGTTTGTTCACCTGTAATAAATATTCTATTGATTGACTGTATCAGAATATAATAAAAACAAGAGGCTGTCAGAGTGACAGCAAACCGGATTTTCCTGCAGAGGTCACACCCTGAACAGTTAAGCAAGTATGGACACAACATTTAAGCTTAAATCAGCTCTGAATTTGGATTGTGATTGAATATTTGACACAGCATAGGTTTGTGACAAAAAATGAATGTGTCAAAGAACTGAAAAATTTGAAATTGGACATTTACCTATTATGGTCCAATATCCAAAATCTTAATACATTGTTAGAATCAGCATCTCAAAGAACCCAAAGAATTCAATTTTTGATGAAATCAAACAAAAGTTTAATTTAGGACCCTTTGGACCTCAATGTGGACCAATTTGATAAAAGAACCTAAAATCCAAAATCTCTAAATACATGGTTAGATTCGGCATTTCAAAGAACCCCATAAATTCAATTTTTGTTGAAATCAAACAAAGTTTAATTTTTGACCCTGATTTGGAACAACTTGAAAACTGGGCCCAAAAAATCCAAAATTTAAATACAGGTTTAGATGTACAAATGTGTGTATTTAGATAATTGTAAAAATCTATTATACAAATTGTGTGTAGTATGTTCTGTATTTTCCTCCTTTAAAAAGAGCACTACAATGGGTCATTGTGTTAAGGTCTCTAAAGGAGGACATTTAACACACTGTATCGGTTCAGATTTAGTATGAGCTTTTGCCTACCCAGTTTCACAGCCTGGGACGGGTTAAAACAATAAGTACAATGCAATAAATTATAAAAACCAATTATATACACAATGAGGGACAAGGTCCCCCGGGTGCCACACAAATGCCATTGCAACGAACAGAAAACCGGTAAAGACATACTTAAATTCCTGAAACAAATTTGACAAAGCAATTTCAAAGATGTTGAAGAATTATCTCTGCAAATATGTCAACATCCGCTCTCAATGGCATGAACCAGCATTCCCGGTTGTAGTAAAAAAACCAGGATGGGTCTAAACAGAAAGATTTTGAAAACAGAAAATACTGTGTACCTTATATTACAATCAGCATGACTCTATCAGATGGCAATACGAATACTAAAAATTCAGACAAAAAAGGGGCTACAATTCAATCATTGACCCGCGATGTCACGGGTGTGTTCTAGTAGAAATTAATCTATCCATATACTTATTAATTACACCATTTCTGTTCAAAGGGAAATAACTCAAAATAAAAAAATCATATAATAAAAATCACTTTTGCCATTGAAAGGTCTACAACTCAACAAGGAGACCAGCTAAAATCATGAAAATTGAACTTGACCTTAATTTAGTCACAGGAAACAAGATATCTAAATTTGAAAAGATTTTGTCAAAGCGTTTTCATGTTAATGAACGGACACTGTTTAGCAGCTGCCCACCCGCCCCCGTACATCCCCAAATCAATAAAAATTAGACATCATTCAGGTAAAAAAATCATTTAACCATAACAATAGATTAGACACTTGTTTAAATGCATTTTGTTTTAACTGCAACCATTTCAGTATCCACAAAAATATTATTCATATATTTTGTTGCCCCTAAATCACAAAATTTCTCACCCAGGAAAAATACCCACTATATGGTAATATACATATTTAGATGTGGGGAATACTTTAAGCAAGTTGAAGCCATGTCTGTCTATCTAAGACAAAGCTTTATCTTGGTATCTTCTAACAAGTTAAAGCATTATTTTCTATCAAGAAATGTACTTACTGAAGAAAAACTGGAAAACAGGAGTTGGTGTCAAGTTCTTAAAGGTAACAAATTGAGTATGTGGATTTTTGTACAACAGTTGAGGTAGATGCCAAAACACAAAATCTCTGAAAAATAAAGAAACTTCATATTATCTGAGAAAAGCTATAAAATTTTGAGCAATGTTCTCCCCAGGATTTTTTTATAGCGCTGTGGTAAGCGCGCGATATTAGATTGATTCACCTTTCGCGTTTGCGACGTAATGTTACATTTACTTACAACTGCCATGTTGGTTATATTGTATAAAATAAAAAAAGACCTGCATTTTAGTATACATATATATATGAATTATTACAAATGAAAATAAGTTACATTTTTATTATATTAAGCTTTTAATTAAAATGCCTAGATAATTTTAAAAACTTGATTTCATTACTATCCCTCTCAATCTTTTCTTATAAGAGAGATTATGTACAATATAGCACAGTAGGTATACTTTTTCTCTTACTTTTAGTTGTTTAACTAAAAGTTAGTTTATATATTTTTCATTTACAGCTTCATAATTAACTGACACTAGTGTAATTTCCAATGGCCAAATTTGACTGTTTTCATTTCTGATGCCAAAACATAAAATCTCTGAAAAATAAAGAAACTTCATATTATCTGTCAGAGAAAAGCCATAAAATTTTGAGGAATATATTTTATGATAAATAAATCAATGGCCATCGCATATTGAAATTTATAAATAGATATTGATTGTTGGGTTACTGTTCTCAATTAGTTTGATACTAGACATGCTTGAATAAGATAAGACATACAATTATTTCAATTCTTTCAAAACGTCTTGATTTGTAAATAAAAAGTAAAATCACAAAAATACAAAACGTCGAGGAAAATTCAAAACAGAAAGTCCCTAATCAAATGGCAAAATCAAAAGCTCAAACACATCAAACGATGTATAAATTATACACTACAAAAACGATCGTTTACATGTCCCAGTTTAAAGTAACTGAAACAACTACAGATTTATATTTTTTACATTTTCTTAATTTATAAACATTTTTTCATGTCATGATTTCGATCTGAATGGCAAAGGGACCATTCATTTTTTTTATTCATGTTTGACTTTATAATTTCCAGAAAGAAGCATTGAAAATGCAATTTTTAAACAACAACAAAAATTATTAAATAACTTTTTTTTCAACATGTTTAAATTGGTGGTGTAATGTAATGTAATTTGAATCTTTGCAACCATTATAAAGAAGTACAGCTCATATATATATTCCCCTTCTTTTTCCTGTTTTGTGTGTTTAGCAGCCACAAATCAACATGATCAAATGTCTGATTTAGTCAACTTTGAGTTACAAAATGTACTCACAAAGTCAACTTAATGATTAAGCAATAGAAGGCAGGTGCTACCTGGTGAGTTCCAGGCATGCATATTTGTTTATGTTATCTGAATATTATCATATTTTTTTGTTATCAGCTATACGTGTACAATGTATACATACAAATTTCAAAATGATAATAAAATTTGTGGGAAATTGTAAGTTCTTCCGGTATAAAATTTGGGAAATCATATACTCTTTTATATAAAAATTTCTTGCCTTCTCACATAAGATTGCATAACAGGAATGCTTTAACGCTTTTCTTAGGGGATAGTGGTATGATATGACCTAAATGGACACTTCTTTTTTGGAGTTCACTTTTAAGCTTAGCCTTGATGAATTTAAGGGTAATCTTGGAAAAAGGTAAGGCTTTACATTTCCTGAGGGATACATTTTTCATTACCATGAAAAAAAAATCCTGAAACATTTATAATGAAAAAAATACTGTTTACGCTGAAATAATCACCAATGTCATAGCTACAATGTAGCTGAATATAGAGGGGCATATAAAGTTATAAACATGATTTTTTTTTTTTCAAGATATTTATTTTTTATTTGATCTCAAATTTATTATCATCTGTTAATTAATGTTCAAATAAATAATACAATAGGCCTGACTTATACATTGATGCAAAAACCACCTTCCAAGATAAAGGTCACGAACTTACAAGCATATCTTCATGTATTTATATTACCAAATCTGGTAACAATAAGGAATTCAACAGATTGATCACGTTTCTAAGGCTTTTCATCATTTCAGTGTATCCGACTGTTTGCAAATAAGTAAAGAATATTTACTGTCACAGTGCATATTTGCTTCAAGCTTGTGAGTTTTTTCTTTCATTTCAAATTAGGGCAACACACTTCCAATCAGCGAGGATATCCCTTAAAGAGCTAATCATATAAAAAAGAAGATGTGGTATGATTGCCAATGAGACAACTCTCCACAAGAGACCAAATGACACAGAAATTAACAACTATAGGTCACCGTACGGCCTTCAACAATGAGCAAAGCCCATACCGCACAGTCAGCTATAAAAGGACCTGAAATGACAATGTAAAACAATTCAAACGAAAAAACTAACGGCCTAATTTATGTACAAAAAATGAACGAAAAACAAATATGTAACACATAAACAAACGACAACCACTGAATTACAGGTTCCTGACTTGGGACAAATCAGGATGGGGTAGCACTATTCAGCTACTAGTATTAACCAAGTACCTGCCCCATAAAATGAAAACAAATGTTTTACAGAAGGAAAAAAAAAAAAAAAAACACAATCAATTTTCTAGACATTCATTCAACTGAGACAAAAATAAAAATTACAATGCTCCTCTGTGAACCTGCTGACCGGATCCGATATTGTAATTTAATGTCATAACTTGAATTTCACTTTTCAAATGCAGTGCACCATCTTGGAGATATTTCATTGTACGCCTAACAGGCGCTCTTCCTTTCATAAAAGGCATAACTGGCCTTTTTTAATTCTGTTACGAGTGTTTATAACATTTTTTTCTATTATTCTAAAAATTTTGTATTCTCCTTGAAACAGGAAGTTATTGGATTACGGTAATTGCCACAAAATATACATATTACAACATATAAAATTACATCTTAAGATAGAAAAGCGAATTATTATCAATGTTAAGAAGTAAGAAATTTTATATTTTCGCATTTTGAAAAAATATTTTGTCCTTTCAAAGCAGAAAATTAATTCTTCCCGTGCAATGCAAATGGTGAACTTTACGACATACAGACGACAAGAAAATGGTTTCAACAAGCGCACGTGTGTTATTGGCAGGGACAGTTTTTGCTATCAGCGCAATTTTGACTTTGCGCTATCTCATGAAAAAGACAAGAAAAAAGACAGGTCTTGGAATTCTTGTTTAATTTTTATTTTAACTGAAAATTATTCCTTGATTCTAATTCAAAGTTCCTTTTTGTCCTTGAAAATTTTGTGATGCCATTTCAAATTTCAAAAGGGAAAAGACATATATGCCTTGACATCTTTAATAGAGGATGGGAATGATGTACTCCTCATGGCGACATTCTTTATTTGTTTGGGTCACAACAAAGTTATAGTATAAGAAACAGTTAACTATACAAAAATTAAAAAGACGCGAAGACAAATTATTAAATTTTAGGCTCTTGTCTCCGTCTTGATGCTTAAAGTAAAGGTAGTGAAAGTGGTGTGTTTGACACTTGACAATAATACCCATACACGATGTTCCAATTTCTATTTAATGACATCAGGCTTCGGTTGACCTATGGCTGTGATCATAATTATGATCATTGGGGGAAATTAAGCGTGTCATGAGACATTTTAACATGGAAGATATTTACTTTTTTATGTCAATATTTTCCGGGTTGAAGCACGATTTGGAAGATCATGTACATGTATTACTGGCCTTGTCTAAGACCAGGTCCTCAAATATTGTATTGATTTTAAAATAAATAAGAAATCAAAAGTAGAATTCTTAAAATGCATATAATTTGAGATAAATAAATAAAAAAAAAAATCAGTTGGATCATGTGGATAGTGGGTTTTACAGTTAAAAAATTGACTACTTGTACTTGTTTGTTGTTATAGTTCTTATACACTCATATAACATGTGTAACATTCATCATTGTTCATATATACATACATTTGTACAAACTTTCAATTTAAACTGTAGGCATTACAGAATTCATAAACTTTGAAGTGATTCTCAAAATGCACATCTTTGAACATACATGTACGAGACATGTACCTAAATATATTTTAATATACACAAAACATTCACAGTATATATCAACAGATGAAGTATTTAACTCCAAAAAGTAAAATCTACATACTGTCGCCATGCAGCCCCTATAAATTCAACTATTAAAACTGAGCAATTAAAATATGTTGCAGGCATCCATTTAGAAAATGAATAGAAAGCATGGACTATGGTCAAATTGTTTTAAGTGATATTTTCAAACCCGTTTTTTTTTTATTCACTATGGATTGATTGGCAGATATAAGGATGCACCCCCCTTGTGTTGGCAAAAATGGTGTACCATATAGAGTATAATTAAACATGTTAAAATTTTGATTACTTTACCAGCTAGTCCGTCACTAATTATAAGACCACAAAAAAATTTGAGGTCGTATATTGGTATCACGTCCTTGTTGTCCAAAGGAGAAGGAAGGCTGGGATTGATTTTGGGGGTTATGGTCCCAACAGTTTAGGAATTAGGGGCCAAAAAAGGGGCCCAAATAAGCATTTTTCTAGTTTCCAGACAATAACTTGTGTTTTAGTGTATGAATCTCTCTGAAATTATACCACAAGTTCCCATACCACAAAGGAATGGTTAGGATTTACTTTGGGGGGTTATGGCTCAAACCATTTAGGAATTAGGGTAAAAAAGGGGGAAAACAAGGGTTTCCTGGTTAATGGACAATTAATACAATTTTAAAGCAGTGTAAGGGAGGTAATTCAAATACATTTAAAGAACAATGTTGTGTTTGTTTTAGATTACCTCCCTTACACTGCTTGTAAATCATATATAAAGAAATAATGTGTTGTCTCTAGTTGATTAGCTGGCAATTTATCTTTAGAAGTTACTTTTAATTAATATCAATTTTAGCTTTGGTTATGTATGTCATTTTCTATTTTAAGACTTTTATGATGTAGTTAAATGGGTAATTATGGTTGCAAACTCCATTAGAAATTTGAATAGAGATTATGACCATATCTTGAGGGAAAGACTTTTTTTTGGAAAAAAGGGAAAGGGGGGGAGGTGAAACAAAATTAAAATGGGGGGGTGGGGTATATAAGAAATTGTGGGAGGGGACAATTTTTTCTCGTTTCAGATTTAAGAAATTAAAAAGAAAATTTGTTCAAATATTTTTTTTTTTGCTAAAAAAAAAGGCCGGGAGTGGGGGTTCAATAAGCAACAGCATAGTGTATTGCACAAAAGCAAAAAAGTGGGTAAATTGTTTTTTTTGGGGGGCGGGTCAATTCGCAACAGCCAAGTGTATTGCACAAAAGCAAAAAAATTGAATATAAATTCAAAATTATATAACCAATTATAAGTTCTTTGACTACAGTAATTCTGTGTTAGAAACCTATTATGTGTCAAATATTTAATTACAATCCAAATTCAGACATGTATCAAGCGCGAATATTGTGTCCATTTTTGCCCCAACTGTTCAGGGTTGGACCTCTGCGGTTGTATCCAGCTGCGCTCAGCGAAGCAATTTATTTTTAACTTGTCATTCTATTTCCAATACATTCAAATTACCTTAACATGCTTAAGTCAAAAAACATGTTTATTCAATTAATATATTATCAATGATAATTAATTGTCTATTCAGTTCTTTTGATGTGGTGGTTTGAAAATGTTCATATAATTGTTTTTCATTTTTTTTGTCCCCGCCACAGTGGAGGGAACATTAAGTGTTACCCTTGTCTGTCCATACGTCTGTATGTCCATCCCAAAATTGGACTCAGTTCTCTAACTTTAGTTTGCCTCAACCAAATGTTATGAAACTTATACACAATGCTTATTACCACAAAACACAAGATTATGTTTGAATTTGGGTGGCACCACTTTTACAATTCTAGAGTAATGCCCCTTTACAAATGGAAAAATTGCTGAAATTTACGTTTCCGTTCTCTAACTTCAGTTTGCCTCAACCGAATGTTATGAAACATATACACAATGCTTATAACCTCAAAAATCACGTTAAGTTCAAATTCGTGTGGCTTCTCTTTTACTGTTCTTGAGAAATGTTCCTTTTATTACGTTTATGCAAGCGTGGGCATCATCTGTGTCCCATGGACACATTCTCCATTTATTCAATTTCATATTCATGATATTTTTATATGACCGCAAACATTTTTTGCGGTCGTTTATTGGTATGACGTTGGCGTCTTCGTTGTCGTCGTCCGAAGACACATTGGTTTTTGCACAATAACTTTAGTTTAAGTGAATGGATCTCTATGAAATTTTACCATATGGTTCAATACCACAAAAGGAAGGTTGGGATTGATTTTGAGGGTTATGGTACCAAAAGTAAAGGAATAAGGGGCCAAAAATAAGCATTTTTCTAGTTTCCAGACAATAACTTTTGGAACGGTGTATGGATCTCTCTGAAATTATACCACAAGTTTCCATACCACAAAGGGATGGTTAGGATTTGCTTTAGGGGGTTATGGCTCAAACTGTTTAGGAATTAAGGGCAAAAAAGGGGGAAAAACAAGGGTGTCCTGGTTAATGGACAAATACTTTAGTACAAAACATAATTTAAAGCAGTGTAAGGGGGGTAATTCAAATACATCATTTGAATTACTCCCTTACACTTCTTTTAAATTATGTATAAAGTAATGGTTAATGAACAATTAAGACAATTTAAAAGCAGTGTAAGGGAGGTAATCCAAATACAACGTTTTGATTACCTCCTTTGCACTGCTTTTAAATTATATTTAAAGAAATGCATATTAAGGAAGACCAGTAAAAATATCTGCAAATGTTGCATCTTTTTTTTTTACAAAAAAATCCATATGAAAGATTTGACTCCATATTTTAAATTCTATTATAAAATAGATTAAGTTAGCACTATGGTAAATTTAAATGGGTAATTCTGGTTGCAAACTCCATTGGAAATTTGAATTGAGATTATGACCATATCTTGAGGGAAAAAGGTTGTGGGGGGTGGGTGGGGGGGGGGGTGAAAAGAAATTGTGGGGGGTCAATTTTTTCTCATTTCAGATTTCAGAAATTAAAAAGAAAAATTCTTCAAATATTATTTTTTTTGCAAAAAAAAAGTGTGTGTGTGTGTGTGTGTGTGGGGGGGGGGGGGGGGGGGGAGGGTTAATATGCAACAGCATAGTGTATTGCACAAAAGCAAAAAAAAAGGAGGGGGTATATTTTTTATTTTTTTTTTGTGGGGGGAGGAGGGGGGGTCAATTCGCAACAGCAAAGTGTATTACACAAAAGCAAAAAATTGAATATAAATTCAAATCAGATAACCAATTCTAAGTTTTTTTACTACAGTTATTCTGTGTCAGAAACCATTTATGTGTCAAATATTTAATTACAATCCAAATTCAGACCTGTATCAAGACCTCTTTTGCCCCAACTGTTCAGGGTTGGACCTCTGCGGTTGTATCCAGCTGCGCTCGGCGAAGCAATTTATTTTTTATGAAATGTTTTAAAGTTAATTCCAAATTTTCAACCAACTAAGTTTTTGTTACTGGCAGACATGGGGTCAATTACTTTTGAAAGTAATTAATTACATTCAATTACAATTACAAAATCTTCATTTAAATTACACATTACATTTGACTTTTTTAACCAATGTAATTAATTACTTTCCAATTACATGGCAAATGTAATTAATTACATCAATTACTTTTGAAAGGAAAGTTTAGATAAAATATTGAAAACATGCATCTATTTTATGATATGTACATAAGTATCATACATTGCTTTATAGCAATAACAAATGAGATCTACAGCAACTATTTTCAGATTCAGCCACTACCAAAGAACAGTTAAAGTTAAATATCTGGTGTGCAGTCAGGGATATAACTCTATAGGGTTATTAGAGAAAATATCATACATGTGTTATTACAGATACTTTCATGAGTTGTCTACTCTTTATTCCTTAAATTTTCTAAATCTGTAGTAACATATGTTTTTTATTTGTTAAATAAATCATAAATATTTTAATTTTTAGTGGGCACTTGGGAATTCTTGAAACTTTGCGCAGAAGCTAAATACTACATAGCCTTGATTTCTAATTTTTAAATTACATTAATACATTTTTCATCAACCATGGTAAATCAATGAGACAAGGCTTTTAAGGGATAAACTTAGCTGTAATAACAAGGCTTAGTT